TACTATTTTATAATAATGCCACAGTTATCCTCATTCAAAATATTTGCAAGCGAAGGTGGACAGTTTGTATAGGTGCATGAATACAACTGGTTCAGTGATAGCTGAACATTGAATTAAAAACTATATATCTGGTCTTATAGCCCGGATGTTTTCACTACAGAGCAAGGCTTATTTGGAGTACCACTTGAAGGTACTGAAATCTGTTTATTTAAAGTCCTACCAGCCATCTCACTGTAAGCAGAAGAAGTGATTGGTAAACTTAAATGTAATCACCCTGTAAGCTATATAATTTTTTTTATGTATAACATTTTGTTATATTATAACATTTTTCAGATAAGAGAGGACAGATAAACCACTTTAGCTTTTAACTTTACCACTTTATGATAATATCTTTTTGTTATCACTCTTTGTTATAAATTTTCTTCTCATTTTTAAAATATCCTTATTTATTTCCATTTAAAATCTTCCCAGTCTTCGTTTAAGAAATTCAAAACAGAAAAGAAATCTTAGTTTTGTAATAACTCTGATAAAAATATAGTGCAGGCCTCCTCCTGTCCTAAGTCATGTTCTTATTTCTGACGAAGAACTTCTGTAAATAAATGAAATTCATTAATTTTTATTTGTTTTGAGTGAAAATATAAACACAGGCAGATGAATATTTCTCAATGTAAGTGTAATACATTTTTATCTGAATTTATTTTTCATCCATATCTTTGACAAGATATCAAACAAATTCTATCCTCTTCATCTTTTTCTGTTCAAATATATTTGCAATGGAGGAAGTTTGGCTACTGAATAATCTTATGTGTACATAATGGTATTTGAAAGTGAAACACAGAAGGAACACCAGACATGTTGAAAAAGAACATATATGTTTGTGTTGTATTACAAAGCTGGAAACACTCATGCAGAAACCAATATAATTCTATATAGATTCTCTTTATGTATGTTCCAAGTTTGAGTTTACAGTTTTGTTCCTAGAAAGCTGCCGAACTTTGGCATCTTTTGAAGGTGAATTTTTGTGTCAGAATGTGAATGTGTTAATAATTGTTTTTGAATATTTGCCTTCATAATTCAAGGGAAGTAATTATTTTTTTATTTTGTATTCAAAATTGCAGTCCAAATTATTATATAAATCACAAACTATATAAATATATGAATTGGGATCAAATATGCATTAGAATCCAACAGAATGATAGGATAAGAAACAAAAAGGAAATGTTTATAAATTTAACATCGGAAAATGAAATATGGAGGAGAAAAGAAAATACTGGTATTGAAAACAAATTAGGTATCCCCAACAATAAGATCATCACCACAACCTCTAAGACAGCCAGAGATATATTTAGAAAGAAAAATAGATCCAATACTATATCAGATTCTGGGATACATGATAAAAAATGCTTGCTATGTTGGAAAAGCTACATAGATGAAACCTCTAGAAATCTAAAAGCCCACATCTATGAACTTGAAAGACCTATGTTTGGAAAACCCTTTGAACTTATTCATAACACACAGAAACAAAACAGGCCATTACTTTAATTTAATAAATGCCATCCTAATTAGAAAAGCATATAATTTATTGCATAGAAAATACTTAGAATGAATCATGATAAATATTTTACCATCAATAAACACTCATCAAACACACTTTATTATATCACCAACTTTTAGAAAATCCATACTAAATGAATCTAAGATCTGTCTACCTACAACCAGGGTAACCTAAAATCTTTCATTCTCATACAAAGCATCCTTCAGTCAACTACCAGACATAAATAAAAATGCCCACAGACACACATTATCAACCAAATTCCACATAGACCAACTAGAATCGTGATACAAAAACACATGAATTATACACACGAAGGCTGCTAGACAGGAAAGATACATTTGAGGTCTGCTTAACCATTGAAATACAAACAACACAAAAATTAAAAATACCAGAATTTTCTTTTCTTCTATGTATTTCATTTTCTAATGAAACTTCAGTAGAAATGAAACATGTTATAGATCCAATTTTGCACTTACAATTTTTAGCATTAGAGTACATCTTTTCAAAGCAAAGGTCATAGGTTATATGAATTGATTTTGAAGTATTTAAATGTATGTTTCCTATTCATTCCTTATTCTATTATATATATATATATATATATATATATATATATATATATATATATATATGTGTGTGTGTGTGTGTGTTACAAGTTATAGACCAGTATTTTACACCTACAAATTTTGACATTAGAATACATCTTTTCAAAGCAAAATTCATAAGTTATATGGTTTGATTTTGAACTATGCATGTAGGTGGATCAAATATTATGACTTTTTTTTTCAAATTTTATTAAATTTTCGCTTCTTTTATTAAAATGACTCATTGATAAAGATATTAAATTGTAACTTGAAAATAATTATTTAAGTTAATTTATGACTGATTCTTTTAATGAAAAAGAGCAAATATTAAGATTCCAATTTTCAAGTTGATGCTCTTGCAAATTAATTTAGATATACAGACATCTAAAAGGAGAATGCTAAAAAAAGTTTCCATTTATATCATCTTGAATTGAATGTTTTTTTTTGCATCCATATCTTTCACAATGTGAAAAATGTGGAATTCTCTTCTGGTTTTTTAGGTTTTCCAGTCAACATTGATCTTCAAAAATTTAAATGCAGTGTTCAGTTGTAATATTCTGAATACTTAATTCCTGTTCTTTTATTGTTCTCTCTCTTTAATAATGTTTTACTTTTTCTTATATTCTTTCACATTCAGTAACCCCTCCCCCCACATCGTAGTGGCTTTATTGCCTTGCTTGGGGAGAAATGATTAAAAGAAAAAAAATATGGCTAGGTTCTAATAAGACAGTTAATAAACTGCTTTCTTCAACAGTACATTTCTTGGGCATATAATGAGGAAAGAGGACTTGGAGAATCTGATACTCACAGGGCATATTGAGGACAAAAGCGAAGGCAGCAGTCCAGCTACCTGATAAGCTTGTTTGATAGGATGGTGGATCAGGGAGCAGCAGATTTGGCAAAAGGACATATTTCTAAGAGATACAAAGGATAAAATGTTGTGGAGAGGCAAGATCACCAACATCCAGATAGAACATGGCGCATAAAAGAACTATGTAGACCTCTAGAAGAACTCTGTAGAATTTAGCTATGTATATGTATCTCTCTTTCTAACTTGTATAAATTATTTGATTGCTGTTAATATTCACTAAAGATAAACATAAGAAGTTGATTTTAGCATTTCTGTATAATTTACAAATAATTGTGGTCAGACTTTCTTTCAGATTTTTAAATATTTAATTTATATTTCTTTTAGTCTGCTCTTAACCATAAGCTCTCAAAATATCGATTTTTTTTTCTTTAATCTTATTGCAATCCATGTTGTTACTGGCTTTAGACCCCCAGATCCCAATGCAACTTCAAAGACTGTATCAAATGTAGTGATATCAGTCTCGGTCAGTATTTTGTTAACAAACAAATAATCTGAAAGTAACTGAAATTGCTTCAAACTGTTATTGCCCTGATGATTATCAGTTAAGTGAAGTGGACATCACAATAACCATGACAAATGATTCTGACAAAGTAGTTCACTCAGTGAGGCCAGAACTTGAGTTTTTCATAAATTAATTTTTTTAGACAAAGGTGACAAGACAAAGAATGCTGTTCTCTATAAGACAGTGGTCACTAGCACTGAAAACAGTGAGACCAAGAGAAAGGCACGGAGAGTGATGAAAGACTGCCTCACAGTGATACAAAAGGGAGGACATACCTGTTTGCCTGTTCCTCACCTCACTTCATCTCTGCCTTGTTCATGTACTGCTGAAGGTTACAACCAATTAAAATTTGTTTACTGCCACAATTGGCTCATGATTTTATTTCATGGGTAATGATCTGACCAAGGAGTTATTTTTAAGCCACAAGGATTTGACTGGAAAAAGTTTCACCCTGTGAATGAACCTTGTGGTCTGAGCTACAACTCTACACAATAAAAGACAGTTTTATGAGAGGTATATACAAGATAGTATCTATTCTAGGAAGTAGCAAAAGGAACACATGCACACTCATTGGCTTAGCATCTTACTACATGCAGCTTTAGCCTTTCCATGAGATTTGAGTGTGGGAAGCATATTGATACTTAAAAATTAAATTCAACTTTGTGACATTTTGGGCTTATATCCCAAACTTAGATAAACACAATCCATCACTGTCAGAATGCCACATTCACAAGATATGCTGACCAATCGCTGGCCTTCTGGACCCAACCTCTGCATTCTGTAACAATCTTGGTGATTGATTGATTTGCTCTTTACAGTTTATCAACCTTTTGTAGGTTATTTAAAGCCAGAAAACACTTTTAGATTGTAAGAATTTGGGGGGAGATAATAATTTACTGATACAATTCTACTAATTAACCCATAGATAGAGGGAAGAAGAGGTAGATTCATATCTTTCCCAAGGGTATTTGCACATTAGTGAATATAACAAGCCTGACTAGAACTAGAACTTGGTTTTTTGATTTCTGATTTCAAGCCATTATCCATTACACCACCTTCACATCCACACTTACAGTGTCTGGTACTCCCACATAATCATCCCTTCAAGTACTAATCAGGATCAATGTTGCTTAACTTTGGGGATCATACGAAAACCATTGTTTCAATGTGATATAGCCATAAGCCATTTATACCACCCACACATCCAAGCTTACAGCACCCGGTATTTCCAAGTGATCACCCATTTAGGTACTGACCAGGATCAATGTTGCTTAACTTTCATCGTATAAGAAGCAGTGTTTCAACATGATATGTCTGTAAGCACTTTATATCACCTTCACATTAGAGCTTACAGCACCTGGTATTTCAAATGGTCACCCATCCAGGTATTGATCAGGTTCAACATTGCTTAACTTTGGTGATCATATGAGAACCAATATTTCAACATGACATGGCTGTAAGCCTTTTATACCGCCCACACATCCAAACTTATAGCACCTGGTATTCTCAAGTGGCCACCCATCTAGGTACTGATCAGGCTCAACATTGCTTAACTTTGGTGATCATATGAAAACCTGTGTTTTAATGTGATATGGCTGTAAGCCTTCTATAATCTTCTCCAAACCAAAAATATCTTTCTCAAAGTAAACACAATTTTAAAAAATCAGGACGTAACATTTCAAAACTAAATTCAAGCATGTTTACATTTAAGATGTTTATCAGTATTTTTTAGTACTGAAAATTATGTTTAGTTTAGCAAGCACTTGTGTATCATTAGAGATAAAAAGTATAAAAATATGACTTTTGACTTCCTACCTGAATAAAACATCGGCACCTACTACTGAATGTATACCGTAGTCAAATTTTGCTGTCTACCATCATTCATATATTTTTAGCTTCTGGGTTAGATTAGAAATGGACATTTGTTCTGTTGTATTCAAATAATAAAGCTGCAGTAGCTAATCTGTTAAATAGATTGGTTAACAAACTGCGTTTTTTTAAACAGACTTGGTTCAGGTTTTAAACCATGAGTCAGTTATGTGCCATGCATGATACATGCATAGGCAATCATGTATCTTTCAATACATGACTGAGGCAGATTTTTTCCTGCAGTAGGTTGCCATTTTTTTCTGCAGTAGACCAGTTGCCATCCAAAACTACAGAACCTGGTCTGTCCTGCTATTTACCCATAGTTGGGGTGAGAAGAAGAGGATTCATACCTTTCCCGAGGGTATTAGCACATAAGTGAATGTAATGAATTTGCCAGGAATTTGAACTCAGCTCTCCAATTCCTCAATCCGAACTGCTATCCATTACTCCACCATGTATGAGTGGGAATCTTAAATATGAACAAGATTTTTCAATGCTAAGTTTTCTTCAAACTGTCACAATTAAATATATATTAACATTTTATTACCAGAACATCAGAGAATGAGTTCTCCTCTTTGGTATCTTGATAGCATAAATTTAAACATACTACTAGACTGGCTTTTAGGTCTCATCATTTTAATCTTGAAATAGCTAGATCAAATCATGTTTTATTCCAGTAGTTTAATTTCTTTCACTTCTCACCTATAGAAAACTTTTCTGGTTTCTTGCTTCCCTGTCACCTACAATTTTAAAAAATTTAAATACAAAATCAATCGCCATCTTCTGTCTTCCTGATTCCTATTCTTTTATTGTCCTTTCTCCTCATTAAAGTCTTCTCATTGTATTCCACTCCCAGTAATAACTTGCATCTTAGTGGTATTATTTCCTTGCTTGGAGTGAAATGATTTTTTTAAAAAAAAAAAAAAAAAACATAGAGGTAAAGCCATAAATCCAATGATGAAAAATATATTTTACTCAACAAATATTTATTTTTCAGAGTTATCTCTTTTCTTTGTCAATGCACTTAATTCAATATTTCTCTATTAATTCTTGTGGTCTATCAGCAATTCCTTAGTAGAGACCCCAATGCTGCATCAACAACAGACAATTTTCTTTGGGTTTCTTTTTTACGTGCTTTATTACAGGCTGGAGGGTAATAGTAGGCATAGTTTCTTGGAGGAAGTGAAAGAGAGAGCTAGATAGCCTTATGGGCAACAGTTTGACCAGCTACTCATCTTCTCTATGTGGTGACTTGTCTTTCTCTTTGAAAACATGGCACACAAAGGATTATGGGAAAGGAAGCTATGCATGATGGTAGACAGAAAAAATTTGACTAAAATATATATCAAAATGCAAATTACAAATCGGAGACCCCAAAATAATCCAAGCACAAAAATTTAAATATCTAGGAACTTCCCATCTGTGGAACTCCCTTCCCCTTACTTGCTTCCCTGATGACTATAATCTTCAAATATTCAAGTGTAATGTCAATTGACATCTGACACTCTGAGCTTGTTCCCCATCCTTCTCTTTATCCTTTTCTCAAACACACCTCTTTACTCTTGTTCTCAATCCTCTGTAACCACTTGTGTACTAGTGGCACTCCTGCCTTGCTTGGGGTGAATTGCCTTAAAAAAAAATGTTCATCTTGTTTATTTTGTTATTCTGACTAAAATAGTTTCAAGTCTGCATTTATTTCTTTTTCTAGTTTCACCATTTTGTCTTCAAAGTTTTAATTACAATGAAGCATTTATCTGGCTGTCTGAGGTATGCATGTGTGTGAGACAGACATGTATCAGGAGGCAGAACAAACCTAATTATATAGTATCATTATTATATGCCTTACTAATTTTTTTTTTAATCATTTCACAAGCCATTGTGTACTGGTGCTGCAGAATCATAAACAGTAAAAGAAATTTACAAAAGAAAAGAAACCCTATCACATCCATGGTGCCAAACATGTTTAGAAATATCTAAACTGTCAGCTGTATATAACCACTTTCTAAGATCAATGATTAAAGCAAGGCAACAGAGCCACTAAAACACAAGTGGTTACTGAGATTGAAAGAAAAAAAAAACAGTGAGAACAATAAAAGAACATAAATTAAAAAGACAGAAGATAACAATTGACATTGCATTTAAATTTTTGAAGATCTAACTTGACTGGAAAGTAAGAAACTGGAAGAGAGTTCCACAATTGAGAAGTGTGAGAAAAAACTGTTAGCATAGAACTTACAGTTATTTTGGCTAAACTAGTCTCAAGTTTGTATTTATTTCTTTTTCTAGTTTCACCCTTTTGGCTTCCAATAAACCTGCTGATGAACAGCACTTTGTCTTCAGGCATTTATCTGGCTATCTGAGATAGACACACACACACACACACACAATACAGACGCACATCAAGAGGCAGTACTGTAATATTAGCCATTTCCTTATAAGGAAACATTTAGCATTCATTTACTGAGCATTTAGATTTGCTGTTGGTTGAAATTTATAAAATCCTTCTCTTAAAACAATTTTTCAGGAAAATAGGTTTCTCAAGTCAATTAGCTGTTATCTCTCTTTCCAGCACTGATGGGGGCTTCTTTTCTTGCCTTTTCTTTGTTAGAGAGTAGAAGCTTCTTGATTATAGCATTATTATTATAATTATTATTCTTTGAATTATATGTGCTATCCATTTTAGTTCTTGCAGCTGTTGAAAGTCTTCAAGTGTTGTGTTTTTTTTTTTCACAAAGTATATTTCTTTTTGATATCACCAGTCCACATGGTTCAAAGAGCGATGATCTTTGCCAAGACCCACAGGCTTCACTCAAAGCCATTTTTAACCATTGATCTTAGAAAGTGGTTATATACAGCTGACAGTTTAGATATTTCTAAACATGTTTGGCACCATGCATGTGATTGGGTTTCTTTTATTTTGTACATTTCTTTTACTGTTTATGATTCTGCAGCACCATTCCACAATGTTTGAAGAAGTGTGTTCTTCACCTAGACAATTATGCTTCACTTGCTCAAAGCCTTTTTCTAACAATTGATCTTAGAAAGCAGATGTATACAGTTGATATTTTAGATATTTCTGAATGGGTTTGGTACCATGCATGGCATCCAGTTTTGATCTGACAAGGGTATTTCAGAATGAGACGCTTGTTTTTAGGTTAATGTTTTGGTTTTGTAGCAGATTGTAGTGTTAAGTGAGACTACACCTAGTACAACATATTTTATCTTCAATTTCTTTATCTTCATTATCTAATTTGTTGTAATTGATTCATATACCAATGTATTTGTAGTGTTTATTGTTTACTAATTCTAATTCTACAGCCGTGATTTTTATGAAGGATTCAAAATGTGTGCCATCACTTCTTTCATTCTAATTCCAGTTTTTTGTTTTGGAAAGTTGTGAGTCCTAATTATTGGAATAATTGTGAGAGGATGCTGATTTTTTGTTCAAGATCATTCTTGTCCCAACTCTGAATATTTATATCATCAGCATAGCCACCCCCACCCATCATTCTCTGAACATTGACCTTGGGTGTCGAATCAAGGGTACCAAGCAAATGTTGAAGTAATACAATACAGAAACTTTTGTTTTTAATATTTGAAGTCAAATTGAACTTTTAAATTTTGTTGATTATGAAAAGTTTTTTTTTGTTTTTTTTTTCAAAATAATTGGTATGAGTCTCTTGTAAAGGAAAGATTTATTTTAAATAAGTAACTTTCTAAGGGTAAAAAAAACTGGCTTACACTATCAGAGAGACTTAATGATTGTGAGACACAGGTTAGTATATCTCTGAAAAATCAAGATTTCTTCTTTATGTGCTGTGACTCATTTAGTACATACACAATCATGGCTCTCCACATCACTCTGTCCTCTGGAGCTTTTAATAAATTTTGTCTTCTTACTATTTCTGCCAAACCCTGTTCTACCATCCATATACCATGTACATTATGCACTGCTTTTCTCTATCTCTCTTGCCCACAATCTGTCCTGTGAGTATCAGATTTTCCAAGCCCTCCTTCCTCATTATGTGCCCCAGAAATTCCAACTGACTCTTCCTGATGTTAAGTATAAGTTTCCTTTTTGTTTCCATTTTCTCTAAAACCTCATTGTTGCTCACATGTTTGGTCCATGGTATCCTCAGCATTCCCTTACAGAACCACATTTCTATTGCTTCAAGTCTCTTCTGAGGAAATTGTCCAACATTCATTGCCATACAGGAAGACGGATATCACGTAACAGTTCAGTACCCTTTTCTTTGTTTCTAACAAACTTTTTAAAATAAGAAATACTTTTAAGATAAAGAGGTTATCATTCATTTCTTTCACTTAGCTTTTAATTTCTTCTTTACTGTTTCAACTCTACAGCCTGTCTGAAGTTATTATGCAAATCAAATAAACCTCAATAACTCAAAAGGTTCCAAACCAATATTTGTCAAACTTAAACCCATCCATTTCCACCCTTAGTGAAATATTTAATTAAGTTTTCTGCTTTTTTTAATGGCTAGTTTTTTGAGATATTTGGAATTTACAAAAATGGAATGACTGAAGTTATGCAGATTAAACTGATATTAGTTTAAAACCTCTGAAATCTAATAATAACTATTTTTTTTCTTTTTGTTGAAACATGGGTCAAGAAAAGGATCTAACAACTGCTGAAAAACAGAAAATAACAAAGTTATTGATTGAGGGAATGTCTACATTGGAGATATCAAAGGAGCTTTGCAGAGATTGTCA